TTTGATGATGTTCGTTTGTCAAACGAGGTTTGTCTGATCTACTGAGTCGTGACCCTCGTGTTTCGTAGCAATTAATGCGTCCATTGATTGCCTCGTATTCTGAAGTTAATGCATGCAGCAGTTACAATAGCATTAAGAGCAATTTAATGCATTAATGTTACATTCTTAATTACCATTGAGAATTGTAACAGTCACATTAATTACTTGTGACTCTTGAGCTGGCCTTAGAGGCCTATAAATAGCACCCTTATGCAGCTCTTGGTTATTGCTGAAAATCCTCTCGCGTGCGTGGAACACGAACGTCACGTGCTGGAAAATGAACGCCGATCCCGACGTTGTTGCTGTTGTGCTGCTGCTGCAGGAACTTGTCTTAAATCGAAAGGTTTTGAACCGTAAAGTTCTGAGATCGAGGAGATCTTTTGCCTTGACCGAAAGGTCTTATAGATCAATGAGATCTTGGCAGTACTGGGTTGGTGCACACCAGAGTACTGTACTGCTGTTCCTGGAAGCAGTTTGGCCTTGGGATCCTTGCATCGGAGTAGGCCAAATATTGCTTTAAGCACAGTGTTTCTATAACGCACAGCAGTAAACTAAAAAATTAAAATTTACAGCACATATGTTTTCTCAGTTTAATTCCAGATTTAACCATAATTTCTAACAATCTTAAAGTAATATTTCTGATCTACTAATGGATCCTGCGAGGACTGAACCTCACCTGACAGAGTTCAATCTTTTGAAAGATGGATCTAACTTTAACGCATGGCGTCGAAAATGTATCAATGACTGATCGTTCTGTGGTTCCTGTTCTTGGAACTGGGACTGTGGTGCTGAATCTTTTTTTAGGGAAGACTCTCACATTGAAGGATGTGAAACATGTCCCCTCAATTGCTAAAAACTTAGTCTCTGGAAGCCTGCTATGTGACGCCGGTATGAGGCTGGATTTCCAAGGAGGAAATGCTGTGTTATCATTTAAGAAATACATAAAACCATTACGTATAGCATGACTACCGTACATATTCTAGTCATGTATTGTACCCAACTCAGTTGTAAATTAAGTATCATTTTCTGCTTACTCCTCTGTACTTTGGCATAATAGGCTAGGGTATGTAAATTATAGAAAGCTGTCTAGCATGGAGAAGTTAGGATTACTTTCGAAATATGGGGGTAACAAACCTGATAAGTGTGAAGTATGTGCGCAAGCGAAGCTGACAAGAAAGTCATTTCCAAGTGTCACAAGGAGCACCAACTTATTGGATCTGATTCACTCAGATACTTGTGATTTCAAGAGCTTCGTCACTCGAGGCAGCATGAAGTACTATCTGATTCACTCAGATACTTGTGATTTCAAGAGCTTCGTCACTCGAGGCAGCATGAAGTACTTCATCACTTTCATTGATGACCACTCTCGCTTATTTCAAGAGCTTCGTCACTCGAGGCAGCATGAAGTACTTCATCACTTTCATTGATGACCACTCTCGCTTCTGTCACGTCTACCTGCTGAAATCTAAAGATGAAGCTTTCAGCAAGTTCGTCAAGTTTCGGACTCGAGTGGAGAAGCATCTTGGACTTCAGGTGAAAAGACTCAAGAGTGACAGAGGAGAAGAGTACCGATCTAAGGAGTCGGATGCATATTTCAAGGAGCATGGAATCATTGCTGAAACCACTGTTCCGTATTCTCCGCAATCTAATGGAATTTGCAGAAAGGAAGAATAACATGTACCTATTAATTATAACCTGTGCCTGTTAAGCATCAAGTATCCATATTAACTATCATAGGTACATGTCAACTTAAATTGCCCTTGTTATGCATCACATATACATGTTAACTATCACATTTACATGTTAACTATAAACTGTTCTTTTTGTTGAAAAATTATATATCCTCCTCCTCCTTTTTATCTTCATGATACAAATTTTACATGTTTGACATAACATTAACACTTCCCCTTCAAAAAAAAGGAGAAAACATAGAATACTGCATCATAATCTTATGTTTGTAAATAATCACCATGCATCCATTATTTCTCTATCAAAGCATTATTTATAGTCTACCTATAATTTCCAAGCCAATAAAATGACCTCTGCATAATAAAATTTCAACAATCACTTATCCTCTCAACAATATCTCTCATATTCTATGAACGACCAACAAAATAAACCAAAAAAATCATAACAATTTAAGCTCCTTCTTTTTATGAATTTAGGCTTCAATAGCATAGCAAAGCTCTAATCAATAATATTCCTGTGCAGCTCATTTCTTACATCCAACTACCATTCTCAACTTATGCATGATGTCATCAATTAGTATCCTCTTGAAAAGATCAACAGCGTTAGCAAATGACTACCCTTCAATAAAATCAAACTTGTTCAAGAAATTTCTCTTCGTCATTTCATCAAACAACTTCCTGGCATCCTCTCATATCTCATACTTCAATAATTTTTTTCAAATATAATGTTCCTCCTACTCCTCAACCAAACCAAAACTCCTCCAACATAATCTCGCTCCCATCCGAAGCATAGACTTCTTCAACAACATTCCCTCCAGTATCATCCTCGACCAAATCCTCCTCCTCCTCAATTCCTCGACGTACTTAACTTCTTCTCCACTCTCTCTTCTCCCCTCACAGAACCCACTAACTCCATAACCCCCACAAATCTCTCTTCCTCTCTAGACCCCATAATCATCATCCTTTATCATCAAAATCAAATCCAACTCCTCCAACACAAACCCCCTTCGGTCGGCGACCTCATCTCTCCCACCTGCTACCTCTATCCATTTCTCGGCTGCATCCAATATGTAAAGTTGGATTTTAGGAAAATACAATATACAAAGTGTCTAATATGATGGGGCTAAATCATATTTAACTTTGAGTTTTTAGGTCTTTTGCACATGAGAAATAATATAAGGGCTTGTGTCACATTGACTCTTTAAATTTATTTGGGGCATTGACATACTTTTTTCTAAATTCTTTTATCGTTAATCTGACTTGACCTATTTTATTACTTTTATTGTAGAAGAATATCTATTTGACTTGACATGTTTAATTTATCTTCATTATTTATATGTCACCCACCTTGAGCCGCAAATAAACAACGAAATAAGAAAACTTAGTTAGACGGATTCCGGAAAGAAACCGTTCTATTTAACCCAGCTAAAGATGAATTAGTAACCTATTTGAATTCTCTCTGCTACAAAAATGTAGTGAAAATGCCAGAATTTTTATTTGGATCCCTTATGTTAACAGATTATATCTTTTTCAAACCATCTGTAGGGACATTATCTTATCTATTATATCTAAATGTATATATCAACCTTGAATGTGTTACCTAGCTCCTTCCTATATTTATGTACAAATGCATGTACGACAAGCTAGAAAAGAGGAAAGAAATAAATCTCTCTGATATCAAACAAACAAGTATTGGCAGATAACACTACTTTGAAAAGGATGAAAGCGAAACAGTATGATCTTGTTGGCCAACTATGTTCTCCCTAGATCCCACTGCATAATTTGGTCGTACCTTTTCATGGTGTGGGTCCCACTTCACCTTTTTGTGGGGCCCTTGTTTGGTCAAGATGTGCTTCATACATTTCTTTCTAGCTGGATGATGAGATGATGATGATTAAAGTAACTGAGATTGGATTTTTTGGAACGAGCAAAGTTGAACTGCGCATTGTCGCGACATTTGTGCGAAGAAGCCAAGAAATAATGGTTAAGTATTTTGTTTAGAGATTGTTTTTTAATTTGTGGACAAAAACGCATTTGGGAGTTGTAATATAGATAATTATTATTTTTAAATAAATCCCTCAATTCATTGAATTTGTTATTAGGTCTCACGATATTTATAATCTTTTTCAAATTAATTACTCCAGTTATTACTTCTACTCTTTAGTGGAGAGACTCATTTCTAAATAATTTAAGAACTAAAGGATCTAATATTAATTTTAATTATTTGAGGGGTTAATTTCTAAATGAGTTAAGAATCGGCAAGATGTGATAGCACTTTTCATTATTTGAGGGATTAGTCTCAAAATATAAGAGTTATAAGTCACTAATACTGGGGGGGAAAAAGAAGAAGGCTGAAGTACATGATTTTTAAAATAATGTGGTAAATTTTGAGTCTATTTGTTAAAATAAAAATTAAACTTTTTTTTTCTTTAAGTATATAAATATTTAACTTTAGTTGTTTCTACCTTTTTATTGAAGGGAATTATTCCAAAATAACTTTTTAAATATTAAGGAGTCTAATATCAATTTTAATGATTTTAGGGGTTAATTTCTAATTAATTTAAGAAGTGTAGGACTAATAATATTTTTCATTATTTGAGGGATAAATTTCAAAATATGAAATATTTAAAGGACTCATGTTGAAAAAAATAAACAGGATAAACAAGAAAGGTTGAAGGAATCAAACTTGTGAACCTAAGGATCAATAGTCAATAGATAAGGGTTGTACCAACTACGGTACTTAACATTTGAATTGGCTTAGCTCCAGTAATTGTATATAAAAATATTTCTACTGTTGCTACGTCAAAAGTTTCTAAAATGGTAGACCCAATAACTTTAGTGTACATATAAATGTGTGGGTATAATCATGAAAACACATCCTTAACGAATGATCAGGCTTTGTGATTTTTGATTAAGTCGTAGAGTTAATGATAATAAATTCTGCCTAATTCTTTATGTTTTTTCAAATTTGTTGATGCAATTCAGCATACTTTCGTTGTGGGAATGAGTTTTCGTCCTTCATGGAGGTTTTAACATTTCTGACACAATTACTAATTATATGTTTTCACATTTTTATTTATGTTTTTTTTCAAATTTGTTTCTTATATTTTTTTTCTTGATGTATCCTATTTTGCGACTACCTCAGCCAACTTCTCTTAAGATCACGAGTTGAGTAATTAAATGTAAATAAAACTAACATACGTATGCCCACATCCCAGTGCAACCCATTGACAGAAATTTTTCTCCAAATTAAATAATAGATAGGCATACTCAAAGAAAACAAGGAACCCATGAATAAATTTACCAATACAATCTGTTAAGAAGAGCAATTAAATACACTTCAGACTCCCAACTTTTCTTCTGTACAAAATGTATAAAGTTCGATATGTCAATATATTGCAAATAACCAACCTCCTCTATACTTTTAGTAGCACTTGACACATCTCAACTCTTTTGTTAGCATTTAGCAGCCCTCGATTTCCATTTTTAGAAGGACAAATTACAGCAACGCCCCGTTTTCCTCCTGAATTCAAGGGGGCTAGTTGCTAATAAATTACTTAAGGGGTGTTATGTGCTACTGAATGTATCGATGAGAGGTGTTACCTCAACCAATATAATCTTAATGACCCCACATCTGAATACATAAAATAGCTCAAGTAGCCAAAGTAGTCCTTGAGCAGCTATCAACAACACAACCCAAAACATCACGATAATCACGAGATATCGTGAAATAATCATAAACTCTCCCATCCCTGCTCTTCTTGTATTCAAGCAACAATGTAGAATGGTTGAAGGCTGTGAGCTTGACAAATCCGAAGTCAAAGTCCTGAAAGAAACTCCAACGTGGTCTGAGAGGGGAGAAGTTGGCAAGTCCGGCGCCTGCACCACCAACAACAACATGGGTGGTCGCTGCGAAGCGACCGCTGTAATGATGTGAGCCATTAAGCACACATGCATGCTGTAGCAAAGGAATAAGATTATAAATGTATGAGAAACATTAAGTAAGATACGAAGTCTACAAATGATGAGGAAAAAAGAAAGAATAAATTTCACAAGACTACCATGAACTTCAGGGTGTTTCGAACAAAACTACCACAAACATTTTTTATTAAGAAAAGTACAGTAGGCCATGCATTTTAAGTGGTTTTTCCTTAGAAAATGAGATATTATTGCACGAGTTCAGATTTTAGTCAATACAAAGGACCCTCAACCATGTTAGAGCACAAAGTTATAACCATCAATCCTCATCACAAATCTAGCGTTTTTGTGTAGTGCAACCTTAACACGATATTAGAGCAACCCAAGTTCAAGGCTTACCGGCCACACCTTCAAATCGGATTTAAAAAATAACGCTACATGAGTCCAAGTTTTGGCCCATGAAAAAGTGCTCACCCACATGCACATGTTAGAATATAAAATTATAAGTCAGACTGGAACCGAGATGCTTTAGCACTGCTTCCTAAGAGCAGCGTGTCTACCGATTTCACCATAGCAGCTTACTTGAAATAATAATAATCAGTGTTGATGCTCGATATCAAACAGAATAATCCAGAAGAGGATGGTTGCGGGGTGATGAAAGATGATGGAGGGCCCGCTCCCTTCTCTGACTTTATGCCTAGTTCTTGAACGGGAGCTTGATATCCACGCTGTATAGACAAGAAAGACCCGTGAGAGAGCGGGGACCGGTTCTCCCGTGGTTCCTCTAATGGTCAAGTTAGTGAAACTCGAGGGGGGGAGGGGAAGGTCAGGAACCAATGTGGTTCTTGAAGTGGCAATGTGCATGCCCAGAGGATCTACATGAGCTCCTCTGTCTAGACGAAGAACTGTGTGTTCTTGTCCTTGTGCCATGTATGCTTTTGGGGTTTTTTTTTGATTGCCCACCTTTAGTTATGATGAATAGCATCTGTATATAAAGAAGACGTCCCTAGCAGATTGGTCACTTCGGCCATGAAAAATGATGATGAAAAAGTATGAGTTGAAAGGTGAGTCATCCTTTGCTTTACATGTATCGGCTGGCGATGGCGACTAGAGGTGAAGTCACTTCGGCATGGGAGAGGGTGTCTCCGTATTTTTCGAGAAGTAATTGATGGCGTGACAGAAAGCACGTGGGCATACTGAATCGTCCCTCGCTTTACAGGTGTCGACTAGGGACTAGAGGGGAAGTCACTTCCGCATGGGAGATGATGTCTCCGCATTTACCGGGAAGTGATTAACAAGTCAAGGAGGTACATGGGTAGCTGACAAGTCACAGAGATCATTAGACCAAAATCTGGATAAGACTTTTCCGAGATGGACTGAATTGTTGAAATATGCTCTGGGGAGAGGCTCGAGGCTGGGTTAGGTCCTCATCTTAGCTGACAACAGGGAATGTCCCTTAAGTCGTCTCCGAGAATTACCTAGTGAGTGGTCGAGTGCCTTAAGTAGGGTCATCCTTGTCGATAGGGTCGACTGACATCGCCTTTCATGTCGACACAAGAATGTCGGCTTGATGAGTCGGCGGGGTCGATGCCTCTGTGATTGTGTCTTAGGTTTATTCCTGATAAGGTACCAAAATCTTGTAATTAGCCATGATGGTCGAATTAGACTGGAGGATTCGACCATATGTTGTATCTTAGTTTTACACTGAAGAGGTACCAAGGGCTTGAAATTCGACTGAGGAGTCGAATGCCTAGAACTCTTGAGAGTTGACTAGGTTTTTCCTTCCCCTAAGGCCGAGAGACGACTGTGGGAGTCGGCCGAAGGGTTGAGGTTATTTTGCTAGGACTTTTATTATAACATTTTGTAAATACTGTATCCTTGGGCTGAGTAAGAAGACCATAACAATAATTATATATATAATATATATAATATATATATTATATATAATATATTATATAATATATATATATATATATATGGCGTATGCTTGGTACAAGCACAAATTTGCTGCGCTTAGTAGTGATGTGTACATCCCCATCTACTCCCTATTTTTGTTGAATGTGCATCCCAAATTTGAATGAGTGGAGCGGTGGCGGATGCCTGACACCTCACTACCAAACATAATTTTTTGTGCCTTTGGTACCAAGCATACCCATATTTCTCATATATATATATATATATTATATATATATTATATATATATATACTATATATATATATATATAATAGAAGAGAGAGAGAAGAGAGACGAGAAATATGGGTACGCTTGCTACCAAAGCCACAAATTTTTTAAGTGCTGCTTGGTAGTGATGTGTCACATCCTCATCACTCTCTACCTATTCGTGAATGCTGGTCCTTAATTTGAATGAGTGGAGGGGATGTGACACCTCACTACCAAGCACAACTTTTATGCTTGGCGCTACCAAGCAGTACCCATATATTCTCATATATTTATATATCTATATATATATAATATATATAGATATATATATATATATATATATATATATATATATATAATTATATATATATATATATATATAAACGAGAGAGAGAGGAAAGACCCGAGAGCAGGAGAGAGAGAGAGAAGAGGAGGAGAGAGAGAGAGCAGAAATATGGTGTATGCTTAGTACCAAGCAATAGGAAGTTCGTGCTTGTAGTTGAGGTTGGCCACAATCATCTCCACTCATTCAAATGGTTTACATATTCCTCATGCACTCCTCAACCCATGTGAATGTGGATCCCCCCATTTGAATGAGTGGAATGTGATTGTGCCCCACCTCACTACCAAGCCACAAAAATTTATGCCTTGGTACAAATGTATACCCATATTTCTCATATATATATATATATATATAATATATATTATATATATATATGAGATTAATGAGTATCATTGATAAGGAGGGGATTCTTCCATTTGATAATGATTGTGCACAATCCCTACCATCGCTGAAAGGAGAGAGATAAAAACAGGAGAGAGAATTTTTACATGGTGGGGGCATTGTGCCACCATCATTGTCAATAGAGAATCCCCCTCCTTGTCAAGGATACCATTATAATCTCTCTCTCTCTCTTCTCTCTCATATATATATATATATAATTATATATATATATATATATATATATATATATATAAAGAGAGAGAGAGAAAAAAACTTATGTCAATTTAAGTGGACGTCCACTAAGTTTCTTAGTTATTGATGATCACTTGATTGAGATATATTGTGGATGATCCGCTCTATTAAACTTGATCTACATATTCTAAAATCTTAACACACCAAATTTAGGGTGAAATCGTCGTGGTTTGACCATTCATCCATTCGTATCAATTTTAACGGTTTTGAATGAATAGAATTTTTTACATGGCTCGACGGAGGGTCAAACCACGACGGGTTCACCCCAAATTTGGTGTGTTGAGGTTTTAGAATATGTAGATTAAGTTTAACGGAGCGGATCATCCACAATGTAGCTCAATCAAGTGATCATCAATGACTAAGAAACTTAGTGGATGTCCACTTAAGTTGACATAAGTTTCTCTCTCTCTCTCTCTATATATATATATAGATTAATGGGTATCATTTTCATAGGAGGAGATTTCCCTCCTTATCGCCTATGTGGCACAATCTCCACCATCATCATAAAGTAGTCACAAATCCCCACCAACTCATACTCTCTCCTACTTTATGTGGATGGTGGGGATTGTGCCACATAGGCGTCAAGGAGGAAATCCCCTCCTATGACAAGGATACCCATTAATCTCATATATATATTTATATAATCAATTCTGTATTTTTTTCCTTTCAAGATGTTCCACTGAAAATAGCGAAAGAAATAAAAAATGTTAGTAGCAATATACTATATATACCTGGTATACAGGACAAGTTCTTTCGTAATTGTGAACATGGCCATAGAAAGCAATATCGACCTTGTACTTTTGCCAGAGTTCTTGGAGGCTCTCTCTTCCCATCGGTTCTTCAAATGATCCTTCAACTCCATAGAACTCATTGGATGAATAACCAAGAACCCGATGTGCAAGGAAAATGAGCCATGGCTGTTTTTGTCTATCAGCTGTTGAGAAGCAATGCTCAATGAATTTATATTGCTCTGTCCCTGGTCTCCAATCATGCTCAGTGTCAGCTACACAAAAGCGGAACATGCCATAATCAGTTGAATACCTGAAAAAGAACAGTAATGGACTTTATGATCAGTGTTGTGATCAATACTATTTGAAGCCGCATCAACGGAGTGATTATAGGTAAATTTATGCTGTTCTTAATTTACAACTGACCATGAACTTGGGAAACTAGCGGAAGGGGGAAAAAGCAGCTGAAATTAAACAAAGAGCAAAGTAGCACCTCTTCAATTTCTCCATTTTCCCCCCATCCTTGTCATCAGTTTGTATGATATACTGAAATATCTCAAATTGCAATGTGACAAGGGCTATCTCATTTTTCTTGTTCTTGAGTTAGTTGAAATGGGCCTTCACCTACTCTCTTGTTGAGTTAGTTGAAATGGGCCTTCACCCACTTTCTTGTTGAAGTAGGCATTATAACAGGTAAATTTGACTTCTGTACCCATAGGAAAGGGAAAAGGGTTTTGACTTTAAATGTGACTAATCAAATGGTGAAAGAGGAAACTTGATGTTTGATTGCATTAGTAGGGACAAAGCAGAAATGGCCTTAGAGTGACGGACATAAATAAACATTACAAAGTGTTTAGAGCACATACAGGTTGGAGGTCCTGAATCTTAATTCGAGAGGTAGAAACACATAAAAGTTTCCTCACTAAGAATCTGATAGCATTTCTTAGGTGTTTAGTTACTATAACAATGAAGCATACAAGAGTAAACTATTATGCCTCAAAAGAGAAGCAGCAAAACACAAAATGGTTTTAATAAGGAATCATACCAGAACTTTTCCCTGTTCTCCGCAGGAACATAAAGCATAGTTTGAGTTGGGACACCACATTCTCCACCCGAATCATTGTTTTCATAGAAGGATCCAGTTCCAGGCCAATCTCGATCGTGGTTACCACTGCAAAAAGGGGGAAAAGAAAAAAAAATGAAATATTACTTTCCTCATTAGCATGAGATTACTATTAGAATATTGAAAATTTCAACCAAATAGGACAAACCTCGCAACCATATAAGGAATAGTTGAGGCAATGGGCTCAATTTGTGATGTAAACTGGTCCCATTGTGAAAGATATCCACTTGCATAAGAAAGATCTCCAATGTGGAAAACTATATCTATGTTCTTTAAGTCCTTGATAAGCTGGTAAGTGGTGTTAAGGGAACCTGGCTGATAATCATAATATTCGTTTGAACCATCTGCCTCTCCCTAAAAAAAAGGAAAGAAAACAAACTAGTTAAGAAAGAAAACATATGAAGTAGATTTACATGTTGTGCCTATGAACGAATGTGGAGTAACTTGGGAGTATGAAAAACTTTTGCAGCGTTTAGTGAATATAGCATGCATTTGGATTCTCTCCACCACAAAAAGTAGCGGAGAGACCACTACATAAGCATAGCCATTGATTTATATAGTGAATGGTTATGATTCATTCCATATCTAACACTCACCATACCCCTATTGAATTGCATTATTTTCCTCATTTACACTCAGAGGCAAATCACAACCACCCATTGGTCCAATCAACTGTTGTGATATGGTAAGGGCCTCTCCACTACTTGTTTTTTTTTGTAGTGGAGAGGATCCGAATTCGAGATACACAGTTTTAGTACAAAGTCGAGTTCCATATATATCTGTCAAAAGTATTGGAAGAACCGAATATTTGGAAATCATGTTGTGTTGACTAGCTATCTTATTTGTTTTTCTCATATTGATCATTATTATTATTGATCTTCGAAAACAAAATTTTATTATGCACACAGTCCGGAAGTGCTTAACGCTCAGATTAAGCGCTGATTAATCAATTTTTGTGGAATTATGTATTTTCGAATATTTAATATATATTTATTATTTGTTATATCTCAAAATATATAGACTCCATGAAAATAAAACATATACTAAGAAAAAGACCAACAAGCATGCAATTTAACAATCAATAACTAGTTAACTTATTAGAAGTTCAATCCATACATTAAAAGTACCTAGATACCCAAATAAAATTCGTTCAATTAAACATTTAAACTGGAACTAAATGTCTATAAACCAAATACAAATCACCTAGTCTTCATCATCCTCATGAACGAGAAGCATAGTTGGATATAGAAGCTGCACTGAATCTGCAAATACAGGGCTGGCTTTTCTTTTTTCTTTTTTTTCTCTCTTTTTTTTTAACTTTAGTTAGTTGGATCAGATTGTGGGGTAAATGGATTCAACCTGCAATCAAGTTGAAAAAAGCGCCCGCATAAACAAATTATTCAAGTGCTTACTTAATGTTGATAATAGTGTATTGTAGTGGGTTTTAGTCCCACATTGCTTGGGAGAACAAACCTCACACTCCTCTACTTGTATAAATATATGTGCACACTCAATATTCAATTCAAGGGAAATTTACCCAAGATTCTCTCTCTCTCTTACTTTAACATGGTATCAGAGCTAGGGCTATTTCCCTTTCAATAAAATTTTTAACGCTTTTGCGTTCTTTTGCCAAATCTTGGCCTTATTGCTTTGCAGCCGTTTAATGTTTTATTTTTTTTTTATTTTTATTTTTAATTATTTGGCGTTCATCTGCCAGATATTTTGGCCTTGTCGTTTTGCGGCCTCTTAACGCGTTTCGCGTTCTCGTTTAACCTTCGGGTTCTATTTTAAACCTTCGGGTTTCATTCTAACCTTCGGGTTCTATTTTAACGGCATTGTCGTTTCAAGACCGTCTCTCGGTCTCAAATTAACGGCATCGTCGTTTCAAGCCGTCTCTCGGCCTCAAACGAACGACATTAGTAACAGCATCTCGACATCTTAACGTCTCAAGATTGCTGTTATGGCTCCTTCAGAGAAGATTCCCAAACCACCTTTGCCCCTCAATGATCAAAGTGACTGGGCAGGGTGGTCCACCATTGTCACCAATGCCTTGCGTGGCGCTGGTTTGCTTGATCATCTCACCAGTACGGGACCAGTTCCACCGTCCATCAGCACTGTTGCTTCATCCAGTACTATTGCCTCTGGCAGTGGTGATGTCGATCTTCAGACTGCTCGTGCTCTCTATGTCAAGGAGAGTTCAGAGTGGCAATTGCAGGAATTTCGTGTTATGGATTATCTCACTCGCTGTGTTGGCTCTGGTCTCACTGTCGAGATTGGCTCGCTTCCCTCTGCTCAGGCCATGTGGACTCGTCTCACTGAGCGTTTCACTGAGTGCTCGGGTGCACGGGAGGCATATCTTCTGCAACGCATTTCTCTACAACGCAAAGGTAGTTCATCTCTGCAGTCCCATTTTGGACAAATGCAAGCTTTTTGGACAGAGTTACGCTCCATGCTTCCTGGACGTAATTCCACATATGAAGACTGGCTAGCCTGGTACGAACGGCATGAGGTGCATCAATTGTTTCAGTCCCTTCCTGAATATTCAACTATGGCTGATCAACTACTTCACCAGCCTCAATTTCCGACTTTGGCCTCAGTTATGGGAGCTCTCACTGCTTATGAGACCCGGCAGCAGACAGCACGACTCAATTTGTCAACAGACACTCCTACCTCTTCACTCGAGACTGTTTTGTCTGTACCTGTCACTGCTCCTGTTATGAATTATACTTCTCCACAGGCTCCCTCTCCACAGGCTCGATCTAAGCTCTCTTGCAAATATTGTAAGAAGGAAGGACACCGCATTGAGACATGCTTCAAGCTTCATCCTGAGTTACGTTCCTCAGGTACTGGACGTGGTCGGCGACCCCCTCAGTCTCAACCCTCTCGTACACCAGGATTGTTGGCCAATGCTATACCTTCTACTACTTCAGACTCTACTATTCAAGCTATTGAAAGTCTTCGCCGTCAACTTGATGCTTTTCAACATATCACCTCTACATCCGCCGCACAACTCTCTGGTATGCATTTTGCTGGTTCTTCAGCTAATCCTTCAGTCTCTGGTATGAATGATCTCTGGATTTTTGACTCTGGTTGTTCCTTTCATATGACTTGTAATGCCTCACTTTTATCCTCTGTCTTTACTTCATCCTCTCTTCCTCCTATCTACACAGCTGCTGGACAACCATTGTCCATTACTCAGTATGGCTCTATTACCCCACAAAATGATCCATCTGGTCGTCTAACACTTGGTCCCGTCTATGTGGCTCCACAATTGTGCTTGAATTTAATTTCTATTAGCTCTTTATGCATGGCGGGCCTGTTTGTCTCATTTTCTTCTGATACTTGTATTGTGCAGGATCCACAGACGGGCAAGACGGTTGGGGCGGGTCGTAGGAGGCACAAACTGTATTTTCTGGAATATCTTCACCTTCCAGAGTCCATACGTCCACGTTCTCTTGTTGCTTCTCTTTGTTCGTCAAAACCCTCTACCTCGCTTCCTGCCAATTTATGGCATAGACGACTTGGTCATGTGTGTAATAAAAGGCTGGAGAGTCTTATTCAGTCTGGAGTACTTGGTCCTGTATCATCTAGTTCTAGTATTGAGTCATGTGCTGGTTGCAAATTGGCTAAATTCACTGCTTTACCATTTAAAATGAGTACATCTGTATCCACTTCCTTATTTGATTTAGTACATTCTGATATTTGGGGGCCAGCTCCTTTGCCTTCTTCATCTGGCTACTTATATTATGTTAGTTTTATCGACGATTTCTCTCGTTTTACATGGGTTTACCTACTTAAGAATCGCTCTGACGTACTTACTGCTTATCAAGCCTTCACTGCTATGATTTTCACTCAATGGCAATCTCGTATTAAAGTTTTTCGTTCTGATTGTGCCAAAGAGTACCTATCCTCTGCCATGCGCTCTATCATGTCCTCTCATGGGACTATCTTTCAACAGTCATGTCCCTACACTCATGAGCAAAATGGTGTTGCTGAACGCAAACATCGTCATATCCTCGATACTGCCCGATCAATGCTCATTTCTTACTCTGTTCCTCGTCGTTTCTGGGCTGAGGCTATTCTCACCGCGACTCATGCCATTAATATCACTCCATCTAGCTCTCTTTCCGGTGCTACTCCTTATAGTCGTGTTTATACTCATCCTCCCCGTTATGATCTAGTTCGCGTTTTTGGTTGTCGATGTTTTGTTTTTCTGCCATCTCACGAACGTGATAAATTGTCTCCCAGAGCAGTTTCTTGTGTTTATTTAGGAATTAGTTCAGAACATCGAGGTTATCGTTGTTATGATCCCGCAACTCGTCGAGTTCATATATCTCGTCATGTTCAGTTCGAAGAGGATTCTCCATATTATTCTACTTCTGATGACTTTAATTTCCTCCACTCTACCGATCATGCTTCCCCGTCCACTGCATCACCCACTTCTTCACCTCAATTTTCCTTTCGAGATCTCCCTGACATCTCTCCCTCTCCTTCTGTTGACTCTTCCTCACCTGAGTCTTCTCTTACACCATCTAATCCATATCCTGTGGACACAACTCTCACTCCAGAAAATACTGTTGATCTTCATGCACCTGCGCCAGCATCTCCCCCGCCTGAGGTTCCTCTTGCTCTTCGTCGAGGCAAACGCCCACATGTCATGCCTGCCCGGTATGCTTCTGTTACTTCTTATTCACCTATCTTTCATAACTTTCTTGCTGCCATTCATACTATTGTTGAGCCAAAGTCCTTCCAAGAGGCAGTTCAAATTCCAGAGTGGCGACAAGCTATGGCTGAGGAATTTCAAGCATTTCAGCAAACTCATACCTGGGATATTGTTCCCTGTCCTCCTGGGATCTCTCTTGTTGGCAGTAAATGGGTTTATAAGGTCAAGTTTCGTCCTGATGGCACCATTGAACGTCGAAAAGCTCGTTTAGTGGCTAGAGGTTTTACTCAGCAACAAGGTATTGATTATGAGGAGACCTTTGCTCCTGTTGCTCAGATGCCCACTGTGCGTACTCTCCTTGCGGTCGCTGCTGCTCATCGTTGGCCCTTATACCAGATGGATGTCAAAAATGCTTTTCTTCATGGCTCTTTATCAGAGACCGTATATATGCAACCGCCTCCAGGGTCAAATATTCCTCCGGGACATGTATGTCTCCTTCGTCGTGCTGTTTATGGTCTCAAACAGGCACCCCGCGCTTGGTTTGAGTGTTTTCGCGATGTTGTGCTCAAAGCGGGCTTTATAGAAAGTCATCAAGATGCTTCTCTGTTTGTTCGCACTACATCGCGTGGCAGGGTTTTATTACTCATCTATGTAGATGATATGATCATTACAGGTGATGATATGACAGGTATACAATACGCAAAATCTCAGTTGCAACAACAGTTCCACATGAAGGATCTTGGATCTCTTCGGTATTTCCTTGGTCTAGAAATTTCTCAAGGCCCGCGGGGTGTATTACTGTCTCAACAGAAGTATCTCTCAGATATTCTAAATCAAGCTGAGTTAACTGATAATACAACTGTCGATACTCCACTCCAGCAGAATGTCAAACTTTGCTCTACTGACGGTGAGCCTCTATCTGATCCTACCCGATATCGACATCTTGTTGGTCAGTTGGTCTATTTGTGCATCTCTCGACCAGATATCTCTCATGCTGTTGGTATTGTCAGTCAATTTGTTAGTGCCCCACGTTCTGTACACTATGCTGTCTTATTACGGATTCTTCGGTACCTCCGGGGTACTAGCACTCGCTCACTTTTGTTTCCTGCTACATCTAAGTTAGAGCTTTGTGCATATTCTGATGCTGATTGGGCTGGTGATCCAACTACCAGAAAGTCTACCACAGGTTATTGTATATTTCTTGGTGATTCCCTTATTTCCTGGCGAAGTAAGAAACAAGATGTTATTGCTCTTTCCAGTACTGAGGCAGAGTATTGTGCAATGTCCACAACAGCTAAAGAGATTATTCATCTTCGTCGCCTTCTCAGTGATTTCGGTATTTCTGTTACGACTCCTACTCCTCTCTACTGTGATAATAAGAGTGCCATCCAGATTGCTAATAATCCAGTATTTCATGAAAGGACCAAACATATTGAGATCGACGCTCATTTTGTCCGTCACCAAGTTATCAAGGACAAGACAATTCTACTTCCTCATGTTTCATCCGCTGACGAGCTTGCAGATTTCTTCACAAAGGCATTACCTGTTCATCGGTTCCAGTTTCTTGTACGCAAACTCACTTTGTTTGATCCAACATGAGTTTGAAGGGGGCTGTTGATAATAGTGTATTGTAGTGGGTTTTAGTCCCACATTGCTTGGGAGAACAAACCTCACACTCCTCTACTTGTATAAATATATGTGCACACTCAATATTCAATTCAAGGGAAATTTACCCAAGATTCTCTCTCTCTCTTACTTTAACACTTAAAAATCGATCGAATAAGCGGGTGCCCTCATAATTGAACGCATTGCTCAAATCCTATGCGCTTTTATCCCATTTTCGCTTAAGCGGGCAATTAAGCGGGCGCTTAAACCCTTTTTAGAACATTAGCTATTATCTTAGTTATTATCATGGGTTAAGGTGTCTAGATTCATTGTATCTAACCCTATATAGTAATTATATATAGGCCTCTTGTGGTTCTTTCTTAAATCACTAAAAATGATCCCTCTCTCTGGTTTCAACAATGCCAAATAAGCCAGACTCCTGCTATTTTGAACTAAACCAGTTTTTTTTCTGTTTGACAATTCTCTTCTAAACTTAACTCTGTTGAAGAAACATCACAAAATTTGAGCCTGTCAGTCCTTTTGCATTTCCAGGCAAACTAAAAACCGTTATACAATATAACGAGTGAATGAAGTTTCTCTATTTGAGGCTGAACTCATTAGTACACCAACTAGATGCCTCAAGGGTACTGTAGGTTGATTGGGAAACCCACTTCCCACTGCACTATACATGGTCAGTTGAACATAGATCATCTTCCTAGAGGAAGTTTTGTTTTCTATTTGAGAAGGCATAGAAGATACAAGATTTTCTTAAATACTTCTTTGGTTAGACTAGTATTTTCCACAAACTAACACAAAGCCCCACAAGATTGGAACTATCTGAAGTTGAAATTTAAATTTCAGAAATTTAACAAGCGAAAAGAGATTGAAGATTACCCCAAAAAAGAAAAAAAAAAGGTAAAAAAAAAGAAAAGAAAAAACTGAAAGAACTTCACCTACAAAGTTTTAACCTTTTCCATCTACAAAATATTCATTATATAACACAAGTAGATCATACAAAGAGAAGGGAAAGCTTTAGTGCAATAGTATAGTTGCTTTAGATCATGGATCTGATTATCAAGATATCTCCACAATTTCAGGCTAAATCTGCAGATCTTGATCCTCTTCAATTGAACAATAATTCTGGAACGATATAATCTATATAGGATACTAGAATAAACCAACACCCCATTTAACGAAAGTGCTACGAAGAGATTGAGATTGTGAGGTCCACACTTTCTGATGTGACTAGCATGTTGCACTTTACTATTAGTCTATCCCTTGGCTTGGTTTCATAGGAGGAAAGGTGGGGTGAAGGGAGGGACAAAATTAAAATGTGTGCTTGATAGGTTTTTTTTGTGGTGGTGGTGGTGGTGGTGGGGGTGTGGCGGGGTAGAGCGAGTTGAGGTGAGGTGATGGAAGGGACAAATGTAAATGAGCTAGAAAAACAGAGAGAGGAATCCCTCCAAATTTGGGAGGACATGAGGAGAGAGAAAATGAACTACAAAAGCATCCACCTCCCCTCACCCTCCCTGCAACCAAATATGACGGCTAAGATGGATGTCCATCCCTCCATCCCATTATAGCTTACCTCACCTCACTTTCCCTCCTCAAAACCTCTGCCAAACCAAGCCGAGTTGCCACCTCATACCTATACTCAGCGGGTCATGGGATAGCATTCACAAGCAAAATGTGCCATTTGATATGACTGAAGGCAAGTACTTGAATGTTAAGAAACAAAAAGACGCATGTTTTCTTATATGCGGATATAGGCCAGCATGACATACGGGGGAAATAGACTTCCTTTAGAATTGCCGATGGTACCTGTGTTATTTCAAATCACGCACCTTTCCAGAGTTACCAGTGTAGAGCTTGTATGAGCTTACCCATTCTATCTTCGAAACTGAACCTAATATTTTTGCCAGCTTCATATGCGTTATTCACTTTTCACTCAACCTTCTGATATGGGATTGATCCATTCAGGCATGATCAACGCCTCGCTCCCACATGATCCAGAAGGCGAATAATCAAGCACGAAAACATAGATAGGGAACAGGTTGTTCGAGCTGTTAACATACAGTTTATCTTATTTTGTGGTCATTTTGGCAGAACCTTTTGTTTCTTTAATTGTGGATATTGGGTTTCTTATCCATCCTTTGCATTTTGAGGTTTATGTTGAAGCCCTAGTGATGACTTGCCTTTTTGTGCCATTTTAGTTTTACTTATATTTCCTTAATGGAACAGGGCCTAAAAAAGGGGAAAAAAGGAAAAAAGGGAAATAGCAAAATCAGCATAGCAATGTGGAATAAGTGAAGTTAGACATATAGTTCCTTAGGACAGCACAATGGCATATAAATAATGTTGAAACATATGATTTCAAGATGAATATGAAAAGTCATAATGCAGGCTATGAGCATGGATTTACCTTTCCCATATCACCAAAAATGACAACACGCTGTAAGCTGTCTTGCCCAGGGAAAGGAGAAGCTCTAAAGCTGTATGACTTACTCCAAATGTAAGAACCATTGGATAACTGATGCCCAAGCTTGTAAGTATACCTGCCATATAAATATATGAGAATATCATAACTTGTAAGCGTAATCATCAGAAAAAAAATATTTAAGAACATGTGTCACTTATTTTGCTGACTTTGCAGCACGGGTTTAACAATGAGTGATGAAAAACAGGTTAGAGAAGGAATTATGTACATTAAATTGGGCCATAAATCTTTCAAGAAACTTGTGTGTATGAAACCAGGATCTCTCCAACCCACTGTTCTTGCAGGTGGACCTGAAAAGTGATTACAAAAAACAATTAGAAAGAAAAAGTATTGACCTTGCTGAAATGTGAATATGGTAAAACTAATAAAAGCATGATACATGTCAAAAAAATATTTAAATAAAAGCAATACTAGAAGCAGAAAACTCACAATTGTTTTGTCTTAGACTCTTAGGATAACCTTCTCATATAATTTTTTGCATAATTATCATATTAAACCTTAAGTAGATTACATAATTGGCATAGGACGACATAAAAATATGGATCCATTAAGAAATATCAAAAAGAAATAAATGAATTTTTTTTTAAACTTTCTATGTCACTGAGAGTTGTCTTGGCGTGATGCCATTTTTCAAGGTGGTTTGATGCTACAAATTTAAACTTTTCTATCTTTTTTTTTCTGCTCAGACTCTGGTGTCTCCTTCATGCAGTCTTACCATAAATACAACTCTTTATGCACTCTCAAGCTTGCATCATTCTTCTTGCTAGTCCCAGAGAAAGTTACAAAGAGGAGAGTCAAGCTGAACATCTATTAGAGAATCACCTAAAACCCTTCAGAGAGACTATGCTAGAACACTTAATAATATGGAAATATAGTTGGCTTAAACTAGCGGTCTGTGCAAGTGCCTTAAGTATAGATGTTAAACTTATAATTTTAATAAAGTTCTTTAGGACAAAGTTTATATTTCTCACCACCAGGGTTTGCTTTGGGACATGGGAAAGGAAAGGTATGTAAATAGACAACTGATTTTGTATGGATTAAAACAACCCCCGGGAGCTAGTTTGAACCCGTTAGGAAGTGTGGTTTCTCATATAGTTAGTGTTGACTCACTCTCTTTATCTCTAATTGTGCACGCTGATATCTCTAATCGTGTATGTTGTTGATATATTATTATAGGGACAGTTGAAGCATAAAAAATAAATTTTGTAGAAGCCAAATTTGAAGTAAAGCATTCGGGAGAACTATTTCTTGGTTATTGAATCTTACTGGTGGAAAAGCGGAAATATGACTTCACAGAAAAGGCACAAACTGAGAAGGGACTATTATTTGCTTACTACAACACGAGCCTACAAGGGCTTTCTACTGCTAACCATGCTAGATAGTCAGCATGATAAGTCTACTTTAGGCCACTATATTGCTTTTGAAGAAACTTAGTGATAATGAAGCAAGAAATGGACACAAATTGTATGATTCAGGGTAAAGGCATAATACATATTATAGTGGAAAATTTTGTACTTGATGTATTAGGCCTCTAGTTTCGTTCAGATATACTTCCTCTTGAAATGCTTGAGACTGTACTTGTGATCATAGTTGCATGGAACCTGATTCGTTCCTGTTCACAGGATGGGTATGGGAGCATGGTATGCCACTCATTAGGAATTGGGTACCATGGGGTAGGCTTATATGGTATGCTAGGGAACATGGTATGTATTAGGTTCTGTTCTTAAATGTTGGAATCAGAGGTTTTTCAATAATCAAATTTAAGAATTATGTTGTAATTAAAGTATGCATACATTATTTGTTTACTTTTTCATGTTTTTTGGTTGTTTATTCTATTGAAAAAGAGTTATTATTTGCCAAAATTTTAGTTGGTTTGAATTGTAAAGCAGGTCGTTAGAGTTGGTGAATCGGGTCGTGTTCCATCGTGAATCCGGGATGATTGAACCCAGATCGCGGTTCGCTATAGTGTTCCGTGTTCCCGACTTTTATGGTTGTGATAATAAGGTGGCAATGAATATTTCTATTTATCCTGTTCAACATGATAGGACAAGCATATTGAAATTAACAGACATCTTATTTGAGAGTGCTGATATCCATGCTCCATGTGAATGGGAGTATTTTAACATGTTTAGAGGATTTAGTTTTATGGGGTCTTATTTGTAAATGTCAAGGAATACACTCGTGTATACACAGACAGAGTGATGATGGAGTCTCAAACTATGGAAAACCACAAGTTTAAACAGGTAGGTTTTCCACGATCTCATTCTCCTGGATTAGGAGGGAGAGTGGGCACCAGCGTGGCCACTCCTGAGATCATGGATTTTAATACTCTCTCTTGATTCACAAGAAGATCATATGAGTTTGGGTTAAAAGGAATTAAATCAATTAACCATTTATGCTATGCTGAAACACTCCAAATAATTCCAACATGGTAAGCTAGAGACGAATATTAAAATGCATAAGAAGAAGATGTTCATAAGATTAAGTACAATGGAACTGAGAAATGAAGCTCATAGGTCCCTTAACAATGCAGCAAGTCGGAGGGTTTCACAAAGTACACATGCGCCCAAATATTAAAAAAATTCTGTTAAGAAGCATTTTTACTTTCACAACATCTGGACATATTAATATAAAAATGGGAACGTGAGCACTAATAATTCTGAATGTTTCAACAAACTTCTTTGGCAAACAATATTAATGGCATATAATTGTATCATACAGATTCAGCGACAGATATAATATGGAACAAGTATGCGGATGCATTAAATCCTAAAAGAGTCAAGGATATGCGTGTTTCTCTTACAGCAATGTCAAATTTATATACGATTTGTCGCTTAATGTTCTTTCTGCCTTGGATTTTTAAGAGCATAGTTAAGCAAATCCAATAGATCAGATAATATAAATTAGTCGCATGTTATATAAACAAATAGGTACCCAAAGAATCACTGTTCCTTGTTCAGAAAGTAAATAAGCTATATTAATTTTGCATCTATAAATCAAAAGGAAATGTGAATTTGTCACTCATGTATTATAATTTTTAACTTCTTAATTTCAAATGCATCCCTGACACTGATGCATCTAGGTGACATTATACATTTTAGGAAACATTATAAAGGTAGCTGAGAAGTACCCATAAAGTTTCTAAAATCTGAAAGTGCCCATCAAGTATCCAAGTATTGAATATGTATCATATATGGGTACATCTCCTTTACCAACCGTCCATGTAACACAGATCAAGACATTTGGAATGTCAAGGTAGATAAGGTACACATCACCAAACAGTAATCAACTATATAATTCTTGGATAATATTTATTAAGTTAATTACGTGAGGAGCTCCCACACTTTTGATTATTATCTAATCTTTGGTATCACATTTGATTATTATTTAATCTTTGGTATCACACTCATTTAGAAAAGAGACCGAAATGTATTTATGAATATGCAATGCCTTATTTTACATTAGATTACATCACGGATGGAATGAGGTAAAAGTTTTATGCATTTCTTATGAACCTTTTATAAGGAAGAGGAATAGAACACATACCACACATACTATTTTGACTGAAAGTTAATGTTCCAGCTGGAGACCGCGTTTTAGCATCACCTTCTGCATTCCATTCGACAAAAGGTATTGCCTCATCAGCACTATATCCACTTGTCCACGTTACTGCCATCTGTTTATCATATCTAAGAGTTCACTAACTTGAAGGTTGAAGAAACAAAAAGCAGACTGCAGCTAAGGGGGGAGAGAGAAAAACTGATCTTTAACAATATCAGCAAATAGGCAAGGCTAGGCTACAGAAGAAGGGGGTTCAACAGAGCCAATACTTTGTTATATGTCAAGGACAAGTTTATATCACTTGTTCTCCACAATCCTTTGTTGTATATTTTTAACTTTGCATATGGAAAAAAAATCAAAGTTCACCAAACTTTACTATTCCACCTACCCCCTTCACTATTCCACCACCCCAAAAAAGCACTATTCCACCAACCCTTGAAGGCTATAAATAGAGGGTAGTGGTGAAGAGTTTAAGTGCGATCGGGACAGTGAGAGTTAGAGACCCTTGAAGGCTATAAATAGAGGGTAGTGGTGAAGAGTTTAAGTGCGATCGGGACAGTGAGAGTTAGAGAGAAGAGAGATAGAAAGAGAAATCTCTTTGGTGAAGAGTTTAAGTGCGATCGGGACAGTGAGAGTTAGAGAGAAGAGAGATAGAAAGAGAAATCTCTTTCTTTGCGTGATTCTCTAGTGAGGTTAGAGAGTGATCTCTCATTTGTAATCTTCTCTTATGTGATTAGTGAAGTTCTCTGCGTTCTCGTTCGTGGACGTAGGTCATACTGATCGTACCACGTTGAATACTTGCGTGTTGTTTTCTTTGTCTTCATTGTGTTTATTCAATGTTGTTATTCTCCACTCTTGTATAAACATTTTTTGTGTTTATGAAGCCCCCTGCTGGAACAAACTGGTCTCAGAGCCTGGTTTAGGTTACTGTTCTAGTGGGCTTCAAGATGTCTTGTGCAAAATACAAAGTAGAAAAATTCGGTGGAAGAAACAGCTTCAGTTTGTGAAGAGTAAAAATGAGGGCTCTTCTAGTACAACAAGGTCTGTTCAAAGTCTTGCCCAGAAAGAACAAGTTGTTGAAATTTATGCCCGATGGTGGGAAAGAAGAGCTGGAGATGAAGGTGCATAGTGTCATATAGCTCTGTTAGGCCGATGAGATTCTGCCAATGAAGATAATGTCGCCGACTTGTGGCTCAGGTTGAAAAACTTGTACATGACGAAGCCCGTACCTTCGCGCAAGTTCGAGCATTGTCTAGAATTGCTTGGAATTCAACAAAACGGAGGTTAAGTCCGTAAGGGGCTTCTGGAGAGACAACAAGAGTAAAGAGAAGATTTTCATAATTAAAGTCAAGGTGGAGATTTGTTGTATATTTTTGACTTTGCATATGAAAAAAATAAAGTTCACCTAACTTTACTATTCCACCTACCCCTTTACTATTCTACCAAATCCAAAAAGTACTATTCCACCAACCCTTGAAGGTTATAAATAGAGGGTAGTGGTGAAGGGTTTAAGTGCGATCGGGACAATGAGAGTTAGAGAGAAGAGAGACATAGAAAGAGAAATCTCTTTCTTTGTGTGATTCTCTAGTGAGGTTAGAGAGTGATCTCTCCTTTGTAATTTTCTCTTATGTGATTAGTGAAGTTCTCTGCTGGTCTCGTCCGTGGACGTAGGTCATACTGACCGAACCACGTTAAATCCTTGTGTGTTGTTCTCTTTGTCTTCACTGTGTTTATTCAGTGTTCTTATCCTCCACTCTTGTATAGATATCTTCTGTGTCTGTGAAGCCCCTCGCTGCAACATCTTTGTCTCGATAAAATCAAGGAACTAAAAATATTGTCATCGAAAGTGTAAATGCTCTTATTTTAATCAAAAGAATTAACTTTTTCTTATGAATTAGCTGATAAAACATGAGAACTGAGATGGCAACAAAGATGTGCAGGATGGTGTTGTTTGCAAACTATCGAAGCAACTAGAGATGATCTGGTGGATAATGGTGGAACTTCCATTTTATTAGGATATCTTTATGTATTACTTGTTACTTTTTTCCATTAGTTTTAT